TGGAGCCAGCATCAGATGTGGGGCTGCCGTCGGGCATGATGGAGTCGTCTAATAGAAATTGTGAAGTTCAATTTGGAGTGGGTGTGAGTATGTACTTACCACTCGCACGGTTCCAGTCCAAAACGCCGAATTGTCCACCCATGCGCAAGGTCTGCGCGACGGGGTCGGTCATCATCATATGCGTCGTGTGGTCTTGGTTGAACGCGTTCAGGAAATTGCTATTGAAAGACGAAGGATAAGCAAGTGTTCTTTTCTTCCTTCTCGCAGACTTGGAACTCACGCATAGTACCGTCCGTAGATATCACTGCCACTCCCGAGGGCATTCAAATTGCTCAAGCCGTAGAATACGTGGTTTGAGAATCCACCTGTCGACACGATCTTGAGCGAGTGCGTGCCCGAATGGGCCTTGGTGGTGTCGATTGTGGCCGAGCCGCCGCTTTGGGCGGTGACGATGACACTCCACACACTGCTGTTGACGGTGCCTTCAAAGTCGGTTCCAATGACTCCATTTGATGGACTCGAGCCTGTCGGGGGCGTCGCCGTGGTAGTCGTCGTGGCGGGCGGCGTACTTGTCGTGGCGGGTGCCGTACTCGTCGTGGCCGGCGGAGTCGTGGTGGTCGCTGTGCTGGTCGCGGTACCTTGCAAGCATTGAGAATAGCTAGCAAGTAGGTTCAAGTTCACGCTACGGTCGGGAAAAGACAGCTACGTACTAAGGACTTGAACTAGTGAGAGCAGAATCAGAACCTCGGGGCGCACTAGAACTCGTCCACCACTTACAATACGCAGGTCCATCCAGCTGTGCACGTAGTGGCTCCGGCCCATCCCTGAGCGTAATTTAGGTCGCTGAACGTGTTTTCATGCCAAATTCATCTACCTGTCCACCGCATTGCCCCCAAGGTGGGGATTGTCCTACGACGACGGAGGCTGCGATGAGGGCGAGGAGAACTTTTGACAATACCGCCATCGTTATGGAATCGATTGTCAGACAAACGGGCGTGGCATGCTTTATACGATTCGATTCGCGCCGTCAGGTGACGCGCCGAGCATCACCCGGAAAGAATGGTGGGGGATCGTCGGTGAAGTCTTCCATACCGGCGAAAGGAGTTGAGTTCCGAGGTTTATCCAACATCATAGAAAGCAAGCATTGTGAATGACGGGATGGGTTCGTGGGGTAATTGCGACCCGTCGCGAGCTCCGCAAGCTTTCTCGTTAAGTTGAACCTTCGTAGAGGTACCTTTCAACACAGTACCACCGTTCGTCCCGTATAAACTGCGAAGATCTCGCGCATTGCGCGCTATGATGGGCCTGCAGCATTTTCGAGAGCAAATGTTCCGAAGGTCGGTGGACCTTGTTCGGAATTAGCCAGGCCCAACTTCGGTACACGGTACACCTGACTTTTTTGTCGCGAGATTTTGCGTCCACGGTTCTGAAAGGAAATATCCCGTCTAATTGCTTCAAAATTTTCTCCGGCGTCGGCCTTTATGATGTCCAAGACCCTGTCTCGGTAACCCAGACGTTCCAGTGTGATCTTATCTATCTCGGATTGATCCGGTGTTTGACATAAATGATAAGAAAATGATGGGCCGAGATCACACTGGAACGTCTGGGGCAATTGGTATAGTGATACCCCCCATAGGGTCACATCCCTTCCTCCTCCTCCCTCCCCGCCCTTCTTCCCTCAACGGCTGTTCATTCCAGGCTCCCTATGCCTCTCAAAGGCTTCTCCAATTTTCTCGGATTTCTTCGGCCACTTTCTGTGCTGCTATGTGCCGCGCAAAACTGCACCTATTTTGGGGCCATTGAGTGCTACTTCGTGCCAACGCGGCCTCACGCTTCCTAGGAAAAAATCTTACTATGTCCTATACACACATATAGTCTTCCCATACAATTTTAGGCCTATTTAGATGCTCTCGCGGTCCCCAGGACGCGATACTGCACGGTGCGTGACATGAGAAGTGTGACCCCACGGGGGGTAACACACTACCAAATGCCCCAGACGTTCTAGTGTGATATCTGCCCATCTTTTTCTTATCAATTATTCAAACTCCGTCGGATCAGTCCGAGATAAGATATGCATATGTTGTATAGGATATCACACGTATAGAACATCTGGGTTACCGAGACAGTCCAAGACCACGTTGGTAGCCACTGTCCAGAGCACAGTTGTGTGTATCAATAGACAGCTTGCGCACAAGACATTGGAGCCATACAATGGCTTGTGACGCGTGCGCAAATGAATGGCTCCACAGCCATTCACCTGCCAAATCTGCGCACGCTCCACAAGCCATCAAATCTGTTGCGCAAGCTGTCTATTGTACTTCTATTGTCCGAACTCCTCTTAAACACCACCTGAATACCACCATCGCTGGCCGCGGCGCCGCACATTGTAAAGTAACCTTTCTTCAAGTTTTCGGTGATTCCATATCTCGATACTCATATTAGGGTGTTTCATAATTAAAATATTGGGCCCAACTCGTGCCCCAACTCGGGCCTCAACTTTCGTGAAGTTGAGGCCGGAGTTGAGGCACAAAATCGAAGTTGGATGTCAAGTCGTGCATAAGACCACGACTTGACATCCAACTTCTGCCCCAACTTGTGCCTCAACTTGATGCCCCAACTTCGGCTTTGGCGCATCATTTGTTATGTAAGGTGATACGCGAGACCTAATTTTGCCTCAGCTTCGGAGTTGAGGCAGAAATATCTGTTTAGGTGTTTCACGAACAACGCCTCAACTTGTGCCTCAACTTGGCTTGAGTTGAGGCCAAGTTGGGGCATAAGTTGAGGCATAAGTTGGACCCAAAATTTCAATTATGAAACACCCTATTTTTTCTGCAGCTACATTCTTGCCTAATCCCCGGGCCTGTGGCATTTATGTTGTGAGTCTCTTCCAGTTGTCGATTACTTGAGGTGTTCGACTGTAAGTCCTTCTGCAGTGCACAAGGCGAGCAGGCTATCGCTCTTCTATCTTGCTGCTCGATTTCCGACTCCTCGCTTAATTCAAGTCCAGGTCTACCATGGCCGGTGGCGAGAGTCAGCGCCCCCACGAATAGGGATCTTCATCGTACGCACCGTATACGGTACGTCAAAATACGGGCGATACGGGTCAACTCCGTGTACGTACGGGGCGATACAATCACCCTCCACAGCCCTTACGGTAGGGCACGGACCCGTGCCGTATGCGGAGCCGTACGGAGATGTGATGCCCAGATCTGAACGTCGGCATCATGGATATGTAATTTTTCCGCATACTTAGTCTTGCAGCCATACTACGTTTCACGGCACATGTGCTCCAGACAATGGCTACCTTCCCGAGGTGGCAGGAGCAATGCCGAGCATTTGATGGAGTCAGGTCCGTGGCCGTATCTGTACGTTGTTGGCCGGCACGTCGGCAGCCACCACGGTACATGAAATCTCCCGTACGTACGTACGTCTCACCGTATCAAACGGTTGAGATTCACAATGATTCGTGGTACCTTGGTTCGTTCCTCTCTGAGCATCTAGCACTACGCACCACCATATAATCACCGCAACAGTGAGGAAAGAATGCATTCAAATCACGTGACAACCCGGGACTTCGAACAAGGTGCATCATTCTGATGATCACTAGGCGAGTTTCACACTGTCTTTCGACCCCTTCGGGGCGTCATACGAAAAATTGGAACGATACAGAGAAGATTAGCATGGCCCCTGCACAAGGATGACACGCTTTTCCGGAGTGGTAGACCTACGGGTCTCAATATTTATGCTTCTTGCAACAACTTTTTTATCCCAGGAGCTCGGAAACCTCACAGAGGTCTAGCGTGCAGTTTTGTGTTTTTTGAAATGTGAGTCGCCTGCAGATGTTTGGGGGATCTAAGCATTCGAACTTTGGTCAACTGGCGAATGAATGATTTTGTGGTCATGAGGGTTCAAGATGCCCGAGGAGCATGAATGGCAGGTTCAATTACACTCTAGCTTGAAGAAGGCACAAATTTTAAGGACCAAGAAGCCCAGGAGCACACAGTGTGCATCTGCTCTGAGTTTTCAGGTTTCTTTAATGAAGAATATGAAGAACAGCCCCGTTCGACTCGGGGCTGGGTCGGGTACATCTTTTTTTTTTGTTGGCCCTTCCCGCCCCACCCCAGTATCCATTTAAATATATCGTCAATCATTTTATTTTTACCATTGAGTCCATTCGGCCCTGGCCGGGGTCAGAAGTATGGGAGGAAGACCCAGTAGCACGCGGTTTGCATCTACATCCATGTAACAGCTACGGCAGACGTCTAAGCAGAGGCCCTCGTTCGACTCGGGGCTGGGTGATAGCCACTTTGGTTGGGTTTTTTTTGCTCCCTGCGCCATGTGCGTCTAGCCATTTGTCTGTCTATGTTTAAACGATCGGCACCAGTACGCACCTGTTCATCGTTTAAATCTAAGAACGTTGACTGACAACTATATCTTCAGTAGGGTGCAGAATGGATAATGAGGCCTAGTACCACCCGACCGCAGCGTGCATAATTATCAGATCCTTCTGCTGGCATATATTCTCGTCCCCATTTATGCGAGGTGCAAACTCAGAGGAGGAAGACCCAGTAGCACGCGGTGTGCGTCTGCATCCATGTGATCGCATTCGACACTCGTCTAAGCAGAGGTACCCGTTCGACTCGGGGCTGGGTCATAGGCATGTGCGGCGTATTTTTTTTGCTCCCTGCCCCGTGTGTGTCTGTCCATTTGCCTAGTGGTCTTAAGGATCAGTAGCAGGTAAACCAATCATTCCTCATTTAGATATGATGGGTATTGACTAACAACGATATCGTTAAGAGGGTAAAGAATGGGAGCGGGGTGGATACATTCCAATTATTCTGAGATTATGCCATGATATGGTTCATTTTCTACTTCGAAAAAAACGCTAAGTTACCATCAAAGGTTGTCAATTGAATTGTGCCCGAGGATGTTCGACTCCACTTCGATTTCAACCTGCATTGTATTATTGAGGTATTGAAGTTACAAATTCAAAGGAGCAACACCTGGTAGCACACGGTGTGCATCTGCCACGAATAATTGCAAATTATGCTTTGTAAGCAGAAGGTCCCCGTTCGACTCGGGGCTGGGTGAGTGATTGTGAGACTATAGTTTTTTGCTCCTTGTCGCACGCAGTTTTCATTTGCGTTTACCCGCGGATTCTCAAATTATCTTACCACTTGGATTTATTTCTGAGATTCTATACATACGCAGCGTGGTTTAGCGGAATTCCGTGCCCGAGGAACCCGAAAGGCAGGTTGCATCTCGATTCCAGCGGCAACTTCGTCCACAGTTGTACAAGGAATGTAGTGGACCAAAGGACCACAAGCGTGCATCTCCATGACTTCTAAGTTCGATCTATGTGCCCCCATCCGACGTGGCACTGAGTCTCATTTAGGCTCAGTTTTTTCTTCATCGAGCTTCGCTCGGTTGGTTCTCTAATTTTAATAATTGTTGATGAGGCCCGAGTAAGCCGATATCAGATTTTGACCTTTTTCTTCACATTCGCTATTCCTCTTCATTTCCACAGACGGGAGTGGACGTGAAGACCTGTATCGACGCGACGAATCAAATGATCGGATCGGTGACCTAGCTTTGGGCGGCAAATTTTAGGCGCCGGTACTGCCTTCTGTCTTTTGTGCTTCTTTCACTTCTTTTACTTCCACTCTATTGCACTCTCCTCGTCTTGTCTTTTCTTCAGCTCCTTGAAGGAATACAACCTCCTTCAGGCTAATTGGTCACTAACTCTCCTTGGAATACAAGTGGGCGGAACCGCAGACTCGGAGGCGGGCCCGGACGGACGTAAAGACGGATTTTGGACGGACCAACGCCAAGCCAAGTCACTCGATCGCTCGTGTACGCACGCCGCCGACGGAAGATCCACACGTCTGCCCTCCCCGCCCGTCGGCGCTGCTGCTGGTGTTATTCCATACGCGCGTTTGAAGGAATCTCACCACACCGCTCGTTCATCAATCACAAACACGGATACTGCCCGCCCTCGCTGCAACCACCAACATCGCACCATCCTATTGATTGAATTCCGTGGATGGTGGTGTTCGTGTTGTGTTCGCGGGCCCACCGCACGCTCTGCTATGGACGTCGCGGGCGCCGGCTGTTGCTGCGTCCAACATTATCCTGGTGCGCGATTCATTCTCATGGCGTGTATGGGCCCTCCGGCGTGGCTGGCGCTGCCATCTGAGCATCCGTGCTCGTGCTCGTGCTCGTGTTTTTCAGCGCGCGGATTGGAAGTCTGGAAGCTCTCGTCCAGCGAGCTCAGCTCCTCATCGATGCACCCGAGCCCTCATCATTCACGGACCGGACGCCGCCTGCTTCATTCATTCACATTCACCACTTCAAGGCCTGCGTCCGACGTGCTCCTACATTCAGCTTCTTCTCATTTTATTGCGCCTCCAACATCCACCGCGCATTGATGTGTTGTTCTCAAGCGTACGTGCACATTCGTTCTAAGTATGTAGAGACTTGGCCATGTTACAGTATTAATTTATCCCTCCCATCCCATCCATCTCGCATCACGACTTCTGGACACCCATGTCATCTCCGTATCCACCCACCCATCCATCTCAGTTCGCCTTCCTTTTCCACCGTGTCCCCACCTGACACTACCTCCTGGATACGTCTGCACCCAGCGCCTCTTCTCCTCTTCTTCTCTCCCACCTGGCCTGCTTGCAACTTCTCACATCCGTCGTTTTCTGAATCCTCTCCCTGCTTCCCGAATGCTATCCCCGCTCCCCTCTGCTCGTCGTACAGCGCATTCCTATGGGCGCGCGTTCTACCGCTGTGGGCGCATATCAGCGCTGGCGGCCTCCCGCGAGGCCTTCTCTGTCTTCCCTCAGCCTGCCCCCTGCCAACGGTCTAGGTCTAGATCTTCTCGTGTTCCTGTCTGTTCTGTTCCCGTGTGCTTCTGTGGGCGCATTCCTCTCTGTTCATCACGCCCGCCGGCCTCCCGCGAGCCCTTCTTTCGGTGGGCACTGGGTCTGGGCGCGTTCCCGTCTCGTCTGTTGCAGCGATCGTCTTCCCCGTGGGCGCGTTCCTGTGAGCACCTTCTGTGGACGCTTTGCCGACATGCCGTCTCGGCCATCTCGAATCTATCATTATGGGCATTCGTCTTCGGAATATTCTGGCACGTTCGTGTCTACCAACAATCTCTTCAATCTACTCCAATATTCTCGTCAATCTACTTGTGTTCTCTCTTCAATCTACACCTATACTCTGCGTCCCCAATTTCGTTCGGACCTGTTTTGGATTTTGGATGTGAGACTTTAACCAGGGTCAGAAGATGGAAACGAGACTCAGTCGCACGCGGTGTGCATCTGCTCCTAATAAAATGAGTGTTTCAGAGGATATGCGTGCCAAAGGCCCCGTTCGACTCGGAGTTGAGTCATATGTATAACGTGTGTTGTTGTTTTTTTGGCTCCATTCTACCGCTAGATTTTGTTATTTTCTCTCTCATATGCAGATAATTATTTGTATGCAAGCAATCTTGGAACTCAAGTGAAGTGATTTCATTTTCTCGAGTTTGTTTGCATGAGGAGCCAGAAGACTGCGCTCTATTTCACTCTTCGACGTGGTTTCAACCTGACTTGTACCCGGTACGAATTTATGGGAGGAAGACCCAGTAGCACGCGGTGTGAATCTGCAGCTCCTATTAGAGTTACTCCGGTGTCGGGTTTGGGGTTGGGATTGGGATTGGGATTGGGAATTGATGGATTACGTGACACCGTAAACAAGCTGACCTGAAGGTGTAAAATGGATCCTAGCTCCCTGAATTGTGGTCCAATCGTCCTATTAATTCACGGAAATTGAACTGAGATGTGTGAAGCCTTGAAGTATGTAAAAAGACTGAGCTAAACGAATAGCTAATGAGTTATATTTGGTGCCAAGCCTATCAAACTTGGAAATTTAATTTCTTTGTTGTACTGCCGCTTGTATACATGAATTGTTGAGATATAGACCTAGGGGTGATATATAGCCATAATCCACAAACATCTGAAGGAAAGTCGGGGCAGAACGGCCATAGACAGTGAGGCCGAGTATTGAAACTCCGCCTGAATCAATATAATATCTGTGTGTCCTGTTTTGCCTAGATTTGACTGGCGATTTTCTGTCTTTCATGCTTAAAACAATTTCATAACCATTCATTCAAGTTCCTGTGGTGAAATCCATGTCGAACACCAGTGAAATAAATTTGTAGTGGTTTTTTTCTCTCGGGGCAGAGTTTTGCTCAATATCCACTCGTTTTCTGTGAGGTCTTTGTCATATATTAGACCCAAGAATCTTCTAGTAAAGTTTGTGCCACATCCGAAGATAATACAACGAGGAATGAGTGAATCTGGACACATTTTGAGGTTTCCCATCATGTCGGAGACGGCCATCAATCATTCGGCACGCGTCACGTAACCCATCAATTCCCAATCCCAATCCCAACCCCAACCCCAAACCCGACACCGGAGTAACTCTTAAAGGATTCATCGAGCCTCCACGGGCCGTCGTTATGGAGTCGGCTGTCGGATATATTGCACCACTCTCTTTCTCCCAAATACAGTAGTATCTCATGTAAGAATGAGACAACAAAGTAGTGCGCGAGCTAAATAGAATAGTAACTCGGTCTTCGCGCACAAGAGTGGAACGAATTCTGAGGGGAGTCGACTCGAGAGTACAGAATATATACTACCCGGAGTTTTCGCTATTAAACCATAAAAGAAAATAAGATAATAAGAACGGCATTGTACCTATGTTCCTGTACCTCGTACCTCTATGTACCTAGTAGTGCGGCGGTGCGTTGCTACGTGCGGGTGCACACACGACGATCAAGATAATTTAAACATCTCGTCACACAGTTGACACAGAAGTATAGGATATGTATCGAAGGATGCAGGGCGGTTCGGCCTGGGTTGCCATTCCACATCGAAATCTCGAGCAGTGATGGTTCAGCGCAAGAATTTCAGAGCCCAATGCCTCAGAAATATTACATAACAACGAACAAATTCCAAAACAGAACTATGGTATATACCCTCCCTTGGATCTCCTTCTACACATTCCTACAATCTCAGCTGAAATGGGTATCTTGCACTGTGTCTGAATCACAGAATGAAAGTAATCGCGAGCAGCAGCGTCCCAAGCACGCGGCCAGGCCAACCGACAATATTTCGGGCGGCGGAGGCTGATAATCCAGTTGTTGGTCCAGCGTCGGCTATGCTGTTCGCGGTGGTGGTAGGGGGTGGTTTAATTCCGCCCAAAGTTCCTGTGGATGCTCCTCCCTCGGAAGGTACGATTGAATGTGTTTCGCCGAAATCATCTGGGGTAATGTTAAGCGGAATGACATCCTGCAAGGAATGTATATAAGCACCTGTTGTTGTCTGAGTCGAGGTGTCTTCCGTTGCTATAGGCGCCGCAGTGGTTTTTATCTGTGTGGTGGTCGCTGGAATAGTCCCTTTATTCGCCGTAGTCCTCTCTTTTGTAGTAGTAGGAACATTCTCCGTAGTCGGCGACCCGCCCGCCTGGCATGCTGCGTTCCCATCCGCGTCGCGACCTTGATAAAGGTCTATTAGCCCAGGTTAAATCTCCGAGTAAGCAAAAGAAACACACCGCAGGTCTCATCGGAGCCTTCAAGTAAGCAGAGTAAGAGCGAGTTCCACGGTAGGTGATTAAATCGACATACGGCAGCAGCCATCGGTGCCGGGGCACAAGGAACCCCCGCCAGCGCACTGGTCTGAGACTCCACTACAGGTCTCCCCGTTCGGGCAACAGCCTGGGCCGTCGCAGTACTCGCTGGACAACATTCCACAAGCATGAGAAAATCCAAATGTGGTTTCGGAAAGATTAATACGTACTCGCCGGGACAGCAGCCTCCGCCTGTAGCATCCACTAGTCAATATATTATAATTTGGGGAGAGCAACACGTTGGGCGAACCTATGCAGCAATTTTCTCCGATTGCGCAACATTCTCCATTATTGGTGCACAAATCGAATCCGAGGTCGCAGGAAACCTGGCGGGAAACGAGGAGTCCGGCGATGACCCTGGGATGGCGGTGGTTTGTGTGAGGCCTGAGCGGCGTTAGCTGTTTCAACGGACT